TGGCGATCAGGTGGGGGGGGGGGAATATGTCAATCGAGACGGATCGGGGATGGATAGCCTGGCAAGTGGGGAGAAGGTGGGGGGTAGGAGAGAGGGAACTCAGGGGGGCGTTCCGGCGGATGATTGATCAGAATTGAGAAAGGAGGTGACTAGGGGGGGGAATTGTCGGGTGGTCTCGTCAGAATTGGTTACGACGGATAGGAGAAGGAAGTCCTCGGAGAAATTACATTGAAGGGAGCGAGATGAGGGGGAGAAGTGATGGAGTGGGGAAGATGGAAGCCAGAGGCGGGAAGAAGGAGAAAGTATTAGTAGGGGGACAGAGGCTTCTCACTTGACGGAGGCTTGACTCTTTGTCCTTGATTGGGGGAGAAGGCGGTCTCTTCAGTTGGAACAGCACGGTCGACGGGGATCCTCGAGCTTGCAATTATCGGCTATGGAGCACCTCTCAGTGGCGAAGGCTGTCGTCGGTCTTAATCACACCGCATGAAAGATGTCGTGCATACACACTTCAGATTCCTTAATCCACTTAGCCGCGCCCAGGGGATGCGGCAGAAAACAAACCTCCTTAGTATTCGCAAGTGGCGTTTGCACGGAACCAAAGTTCATACACGTCGGGTGTTGTGTCGATGTGGATAGTATTGCTCAACATCGATAGCACTGCTGCGCCCGACGGGCGCGGCGGGCGGTTCTCTCCTTCTCGGCGATGGTGTGTGGTGCTTGGGCGATGGCGCCTGTGAGCGCGGCGCGGAAAATTCGCGCTTACCACTTTTCGAAAAAGCGCGGGCGGGAGCGCTTACCGGACGGCGCTCGCGCGATCTTCAACTCCCTCTCAGGGGCTAGGCTTTTGATACTATCAAAGTGCTAATTTATTCCAAGCTGTGCCCGGTTTGGTGATAAGTTTGATTGAAACGGTTTTCACCTGTTAGTAGTAGCGAATGCAGATTCCAGGGCTCGATCCCTAGTTCTCACCGTACCTGTGTACAGTATCGAGTTGACCCCTGGGTGTTTGAACCCGTGACCTATGTGTTGTTAGTTGTTGTTTGTCTGTCGTAGGTCTGTGTAGTGGTAGGGGTTCGATCTGTAGATCTGTCAAGTAGGAGTTCCAGCTTTGTAGAGGTCGTAGCTATAGGTGTTCTGAAAGTTCAAGGTCGTAGCTGCTACAGTCCTGAAAGGTCAAGGTCGTAGCTGCTACAGTACCCGAAAGACAGACTTTCGGAAAGTCCCGGAAGTGGCCTTTCGAAGCTGCTCACGTTTGAGACAGAGGCAAGTGGGCAAGTGGTGGAGTCTACCCGTGCTGAGTCAGCAGTCCCAGTCCCAGTCAGTCCTAATCCAGTCCAACAAGTATTGTACGGGACTGTGGGCACCACGGGCATGGGAAAGGGCCAGACCAACGAGCTACAAAAGTATAAATTGAGAGGCAGCAACCAGCCATTCATTGATTCCTGCATGAGCCATGCGGAAGCGCTGCCATAGCGACTTGTGCGAGGTGGTCTGCAGTGAGCCCGAGGACGAAGTGGGCGAGAAGGAAGTTAGCCATAGCGGTAGAGTAGTAGCGGCCATAGCCGCCATAGCTGTAGGTGTGTGCGGGTGTGTGTGGGTGTACAGAGTGTGATGTGTGTGGGATATCCAGGGTGATCCTGTGTGCGAACAGCAGTGTTGAGTAAGCGGCGAACAGAGAGTTGTACAGGCAATGTGTCGCCATAGCCGTTTGAAGTGAACTTATATCTTAGCTGCGTTCTTGGTACTATATCTCTGAGTTTTGAGTGGGCGCTTGACGCCAGTTTGCTGCGCAACCCGTTTGCATGCATGCTGAGTGTGAATGAAAGCGAGTTTGATTGCACTGGTATCGGAGCTGGTACCCGCTATCCCATGCGCCATCGCCGTTGCAACAGGAGAGAGACGCACGCCATAGGGCGCCACAGTTGAAGAGCGCCACCGTGAAGAAGTAGTCCGCCATAGCTCCGCTGCGGGAGGAGGTGCCGCGTACCTGCCAGGAAGACAACGACGAAGAAGAGAGAGAGAGAGAGAGAGAGAGAGAGAGAGAGAGAGAGAGAGAGAGAGAGAGAG